TAGTGCTGTCCTGTCCACACTATCGAATGCTCCCTCGTAGTCGATGAAGTTGATGTAGAGTGGTGAGTTCCATTCAACTGATTGTTCCAGAATGATCCGTAATGTAGCAATTTGGTTAGTACACGATCGATCCGTACGAAATACAGCCTGTTGATCTCGAAGTTGTGCGTCTACAAAATCCTTAACTCAGTTTAACATTACCTTGTTGAAGAGTTTGTCTGGCATTGTGACAAGAGTGATGCCTCTGTAGTTCTCACACTTGTTGAGATCGTATTTCTTTGGTATTTCGATGAGGTGTTCTTCTTTCCAGTTTGTTAGTACTTATTCATTCCACAATGTTTCTGAAGTGAATGTGGAGTGTGTTCGCAGTTACTGACACGTTTGCTCCTATTGCCTCTGCTAGAATGCTGTCTGGTCCCTCTGCTTTGCTGCTCTTGATTTGTCTGAAGGCTACACTGATCTCTTCAACTGCTGGTGGGTCATTATCAGTTGGAAAGTTTATGGGTGCTGCTTCGATTTTGGGTGGTATCAATGAGACTATTTTATTCAGTAGTTTTTCAGAATGCTCCATCCACCTTTTTCGCAGTTTTTTAATGTTGGTGATCGCTTTGCCTTTATTGCGTTTCACTGGTCGTTCTGGTTTATGTTAGTTTCGAGCGAGCTTCTTTGTAGTATTGTACGATTGTCTGAAGTTTCCTTTTCTTTCACCCTTTACTGCCGTCATTGCTAGATCTTTCACATGTTTACATTTGTTGGCTCTGCTGCTCCTCTTTACTTGGTTGTTTGCTTCTGTGAATTCAGTTTGTGCCCCGTCTTTCTTTGCTCTTATTCGGCTGACGTTGATTGCTGCCTTATTGTTTCTCTTTTGTGCAATATTTTCAAGAGTACCAACAGAGATCCATTACTTATGGTGGTACTTCCTGTGTCCCAGAACCTCCTGACATGTTGACGTGATCGCCTCCTTGATGCCTTTCCAATTGTTCTCAATGGTTGTTCCCTCTCCATCGGAGATCGTGCAAAGCCTGGAACCTATTGCTGAGGGCTATCTTGAATCGGTTGAACTTTCCAGTATCCTGAAGAAAGGCCGTATTAAACTTTTGTGATGTTGTCCGCTCCGTTTTTCAGTGCTTATTGAAATTCAGTTCCATTTTGGTGACCGGCAAGTGGTGATCTGAGGCTATTTCGGCTCCTCCCTTGGTTTTCACGTCCTCCAACACCTTACTGAACTTTTTATTGATACAGATATGGTCGATTTGGTTCTTGGTAGTGTGATCAGGGGAAACCCTATAGCTTTGTGCATGCGTTTGTGTGGAAATATTGTGCCACCGATGACCAGTTTGTTGAATGCTCACAGGTTTGCAAATCTCTGACGATTTTCGTTCCATTCTCTCAGTGCATGTAGTCCCATTATAACTTCATATCGATTGTTGTCCTTGCCAACCTTGACATTTAGGGCTCCAATCAGAATGGTCAAATCTTTTGATGAGCATCTGTCGATGATTGACAGCAGCTTATCGTGGAACTGATCTTTACTGCGTTTGTTTTAGTCTTTGGTAGGTGCATAGCATCGGATGACGTTCGATCTCAAACATCATGATTTAGCTCCCACCATATGATTACATTTGAACTAATGTTAAAAGACATTTCATTGGGAGAATGTTAGAACCAGAAAAGAATTAAAGGATTCCTAGAAGCATAGCACAGTCATTTTATAATTAGTAGATTTGAAATTAGAACAATACATATAAGCGAACAATATTGTTTTCGATTAGATCGTCATCAGGCTTTATGGTAATATATATGAATATTCATATGAAAATGTTAAACCGATCAAGGCAATTTGAGTCAATAATTACAACGAAATGAAACAGGTTACATCACTACACATGATAGGCAAAAGTACAAATTAATCGTAGGAAGATAGGTGTACTGATATTAGCAAGAAAAATAAAATACGATAACAAAAGTTTTATCAATAGTAGGTCAAACGTGGATAAATAAACTTAAAATAATCATTACAAAACATTAAACCATTACGTAATAAGAAGTGTGTACATAATTAGACAGTGAAGAATATAAACGGAAAGAGGCAGAAAATTACCAATGTGAAAATAATGCTAATAATAACACGACCAGGCAACTTAACCGATGGATGAGTGAATACCTCCCTGTATGGTTTATGAAGGGCCAGTTAAAGACAATACACATTTCTGTCTTAGCACATCTGGTTGATAGTGGTCATATTGTAGACAAGTCTAGATCTTTTCGGGTGATCTATCTCATACCTTCATTATTTCCCAATGGAGTTTGATCCCGCATCGTTATCTGGATGACACAATATCAAATTCTGATTTCTCAGAAGACCTAATAATTGCGATTTATGTTCTTCCGTGAGTAATCAACTAGTTGTAGGCTTTGTGTTAACATATTAATTATAACAGTCGACAGGAAATGTTTTGAAAAGCTCATAATCCTTATTAGATACGGGGTGAGGTCATTAGTCTAACGAATGAGGCTTTAAAACTGGATTTTAGTGTTGAGTTCAGCAACATTGTTTGACGCACTACAAAAGCTTGGACAAACTGATTTTACTTGTAGCTGAAAAGTTAATAATGTCATACTGGATTAATTCAATACATTATTTTCTGGTCTTTCTGGAAAAGTGTGGATCTCCTTCGGTTTCAAATTTTTCAAAAGTTTCACGTTCAAGTCTTCTGTGAGATTTCTAGCTACTGTATCAGTGTAATCTTGGATTCTTTTTTGGTTCATCTTCCAATAAATCATATGATGTATGCATTGGTAATGAAAGATTTCGATCCGTTTCTGGCTTTCTTCGCCTAATTTTATCGATATAATTGAATTTGATTTAGATGTATGTGGTTTCCACGTAATTTTTTATAAAATGGTCTCAGATATTGACGTTTATCTATACAGTTTTTCAGAAGTCATCTTGGATTTCTCTATAACAGACTTGACAGTAAAACGAAAAAAACACATTGAATTTCTTTACTGTCATGAGATCCTTGCAAGTCTTCAGATAATTGAAGTAATCCTAGACTAAGATGTTCAGTTTTCTCTGGTTTTAAATTTTTTTCTAAACATAATTTAAGTCTCTGACGAAAACCAACTACACATAGTTCCACTGAAAACAGCATACGAATCATCAAAGCGATAAGGCAATTGAAGTGAGTTAGAATCGAACACTTACAGTCATACCAAGTTGTAAAGCCAATTCTCCTGCTTGAGCTTCTAATTCTGGTTCTTTACTTTTGAATTCACGTAACATTTTCGATGCCATTGGATTATTTATTTTGCCTAAACATAGACGAGCAACATCCAATCGACAAGTAGTTACACACATTTTAGCCATATTCTGCAAAGTAATTTTTTTTCCAAAAAAAAAACTCAGTTAGTTTAATCTAGTTGTACTGTAAAGAAAGTTTGATAAATATTTGTTAGACGCTTTATTTTCTTTCGGTTAAGCTGAGAAATAATCCTCATTAAAAAACAATTTAACTATCGGTGGCTTATAGATTTCAAGGATTTGAAGGAAAGGGAAAATGTTATTTTTTATATAAATATGATTTTACTGCCTATGACAGTAAAAATATCGATAAGAATACTTCCTACACCGAAAGATCATATTTCTCGATTAAAATTAATAATTTAATCCAGTTTTATTTCATTTGGAAGGGTTTTTAAGAGGATTGGTTTGGTTTTGAAGTTGTTTCTACTGCAGAATGGGACGCCAGGACAAAGTCGATAGATGTTGCATTCTAGAATGGGATTTATCACGAGTGAACAACCACAGAAGTCAAAACCAGGACCATTGTGTCTAATGGCAAACATGTCACAATTAGATAAATCCATTTCGTGTCAAGTGGTATAATGTCAACTTCAACCAGTTTGTAATGTAACACGAGGATAATCTAATGCCATTGGTGGAAACCGTTACATTCCCAAAATATTTCAGTTTCATTTATTAGTTTATCACTACAACTATGCAATAGGTAGAGAAAATGCAGGGAAGATCAAACTGAAATCAAAACCGTCTGAACAAATTTCTAATACTGATTTACACAATAGTCATTTTCTGGTACTTAAACCTATCCAAGAATTTCAATATACACTGTTATTTACAAACAGTGATGAGAGAACAATAAAGCATTTTAAAAGTAAATAATTTTAGCAGGCATAAACGTGATGTTATTACGGTTATTTCACCAGTGTTTTCTGATTTTATGTGTTGGTCTGTGGGTTGACACTAGTATAAGCAGTGTCTATAAGAGTATACAACCATCTATTTGTGTGAAAACCCAAGAATGAGTAGGAAGTCTTTGACAATAGTGTACGTTTGTCTTCCTCAAGCCAAATCCTGATCAATGGTGAGTAATCATCAATATCAATCACTTGCCATTTGCCCTTGAACCGATGTTGTATTGAAGAAGTCTGCCGATATGTGAGATAGCTGAAAGTAGTCCCCGTAATACCCTAGATATAGGTTTTACCAACAGAACTTAGTAGGACTCTTCAGGATACTGATGATGTTTATAGGATTTAAACTACAATTACTTATATTCCCAGTATAAGATGTTAAAAGTAAGCTCTTGAGTTAAGACTGACCTATCATGGGACCGAGATATTTACATCCATCCGTTGTTGAAGTGATTTATACCATGCTTGCCTAGTCCTTAGTAATGATTGAATTCGATCGACCAAGCTATAATGTATCCACTTAATAAGCCTTGTCATAAGATGATACTATATATCAGCATAGATTTCCAACTTAAAAATTATTTTAATATAGAAAGCTGGGTATGTTAACAACATTTACAGCTGAATCATTCCTTTCGTATGAAAGCTGTGATTAATAATATTATTATTGTCATAACTAGTATTACTATTACTATTATTATTATTATTATTATTACTTAGATTCGATCGCAAATCATCTATTGTAAAACATAGTTTGTAATAATCTCTCAGAATTCAAAACCTTAATGAACACAACTGAATAACCAAATTTTTCTCAAATTATTCAGATCAAACAGGTGTCATTGAAGATAAGGTCAAACTCAAGTGTGAGGGTAGTTTTTTCGCATGGTACAGTGATGAAATTACATATTTGTTTGGTTAAGTCAATGATTGTGTCAGAGAATAATTCACTATTACGTACCTCCCAAACAACTGAACTTTTAGTCAATTTCATAGCTCTGAATGCTGAATCCATTTCACCCAATGCTAAATAATAACTAAAATTCAGCATAGCTTCACGTGTTTTCTCATCGGCATCTTCAAGACCAATAAAATTTTGCATCACACATCTGTTAACATAATGTATTTTATTTTGAGTTGCTGATTCATCGGCCCTATTCACTTTACTAGTTATCGATTTCTTTCTTGAATGAGTATTTATACAAGCATTATCATTCATTTCTTTATCTTTAAACAACGATGTATCCAGATTTAAATCAGTATTATAGTTACTCGTAATTGATGTTGATGTACAATCTATTTTGTTCACTACACAACGGTCAGATGTAATCTTCTCTGAACGACGTCGATATTGTTCATCAAGAATAAGATGAATTAAATCACACTATAAAGTTGAAAATGAATGAATGAGATTGTTATTTAGTGTATTATATGCGTACATGATTGAGTGAATAAAATGATCTTTAGCAGATAACATTTTCAAAAATATATAAATAAACGAAAAAAAAGTGACTGTTTAACATGTCCACGTTGACTTACAAACAGTCATGTCACAAAATTGTCCAAAACAATTCATTCTAAATGTAAATATTCTTTTATATTTTTATCTAACCATCACTTTGATTTCACATAAATGAGATTTATGTACGATGAACAATATGGATTTCAAGATCTCGTTTACATATTTACCTAACTGATTGTGTATTGGATAGTTGCCAAAAACTGTTTAACTTTTCAGGAAAACTAATTTCGTATAGAGAATGCTAGTTAATCTGTTTGGAAAGCTGTTCGTGTGACAAACAGTTTATAACTTGACAGCATTTCTGTCTAATTTAAGAATATTCATCATTGCAAGCCTTTATTAAATTACATTTGATAAAACCAATCACTCAGAGTTTGACCTGATTCGATATTATGAATGACTAGCGTGAATAAGTGTTATATACTAAGTGAAGAAATTTTTGACTAATGTAAACTGTAGTGTTGATGATAAATACTATTTTAATCTTTCATTTATTTCATTATGAAGCGAATTTTGAAGTACAGGTTTTATTAGTTAGGGATTGCCAAAAACTAAAAAGCCCTAATTGTCAATTTCTTCTAGTTTGGAACTTTTAAGAATTTCATATTATTTACTACAGGACAGCTCCAACAAAGAGACACCAGATTACGTAACAAGCTCTTTTATGAATATTCAAGCAATCGAATATTTTAACTTCAGTCAATTGATAACAGCCAGACCGTTATTTAGTCTTATCTTATATTAACTGTCACTCCTCATAACAGTGTTCATTATTGCACCTTGTGACTTCTTATAAGAACTTCGGGAACTTCATTCCGAAGCAAGTCACTTGTCGGTGCAAGATTCTCATTTGCACATCGATTTATTTTAAAGATGGTGCATATCAGAGATTTGTACCAACTTTTTATGAATGTTATCCGACCTATTTCTATTGTTTTGTTTTTTTTGACAATGATAAATAGTAACGTACACGAACAGAAAAGTATATAAATGGCACTTCAACACCAATCAATGCACTATGATGAAATGCCATCAAAAATGATCCTTGAACTATGATATCATTTCGATCTGGACTGACGAACAAGGAAATAATTGAGGTAGAAACTTTCGATTTCTAAAGAAATAAAAAGAGAAAGAAGTACAGGGAAATTTATTATTAGATTGCACTGTCAGTTATTTGTAGCAAATGAAACTATCATTTTTGAAATACATTTATAGGCAGTAGATTTATATATTAAAAATACAGCTCATCTATAATCATTTTTCCACTTAGATGAATGTGGTTTCTTTTTTATTATAAGCAGATCAATGTTAGTCTAAAAAAACTACACTATGAACTCATGATAAAACCAAAATTCAGTTCGAACAGAACATTTATTCATTGATCCTGTCAATCCAATATGATCTATCTTATCTTGTAATGAAGAATTTCAATTTTCTGAATGTTTGGAGAAACTTGCTAGCAAAATTGTAAAAATTAAGTGTACCGTATCGAACATAAGATTAATTACAAAATAAACTGACAGCTACAGTTAAACAAGACATAGTTAATATATAATCCTAGATGCGGTCAAGAATAGACCTAATATTTATCAGTCTAAAATTAGGAACAAACAGTTGTTTAATTTTTATTGAGTATACAACTAACTGAAGTATATTACTGAGTAATGTTATCGGCTGTAATATAGAGAATGACACGAAACTCAGCATATTTGGCAGATTATTTGTAACATTTTGGACATTTTTAATAATTGTTTAAACTTAAGTCAAATCACTTTTTGTAGTCTTACACCATCAACTGACCCTAGTTAGAAATCCATTGAAAATCGAAAGCGCTGAATAGTCAAGCGATTGGCAAAAGAATGTTCTGTGTTCAAAATCATTGAGCTGATACTTGGTAAGACTACACTTCTAAATTTAAGCTGATTGGTTTGCACGAACATCGTGCTTGAACTCCACCAATCAGTTCGCGATATAAAACTACCAAGTTGAAGTTTCCATATCGATGTGCGTTAGGAAATGATATATGATTATTCAAATTCTTCAAACAATAGATTTGGTTTCGGCTTTCATCGGTTTTACATAATCGAGTGTTAGGAATGATAATATTTACATTTATAAGGTCCCTGTTCGTTTTATGTACATCGAATGAAAGCCGAATTCCGGAATGTTCGACAAGTGAGCTATTAACTATGCTCATGATGCTTTAAAAAATGTAATTAGCTAAGCTGTACATTGACCAATGTGAATCAAAGTGATTATGGTGCTGCATGTCTTTACTTCAGCAATAGAAAGGCTGAAATCATTTGAGTTATACGTAAATACTAGTCAAAATTATTTGCCAAATCGACTGATTCATTACTGAATCTCATTTTGACTGATACACTTAAACAATTACTAATTGTCATTTTCATGCGGTAGATATTGCATTACCATTCGCAATCGAAAATCCAAAACTATGGAAATTCCAAAGAGTATAAACGACAATTCTTAACAAGAGTATGATGTGTAATTAGTTTAGTTTACTCTGCCAGCCACCAACATTCATACTAATGATAAAATGCCTTATTCATTAAAATCATGTTAATGGAGAACTGGAGTTTGTTAACAGTGGTAAGATAAAACATTTAATGCTAAAATTCTTAATAAGTGTTGATAGGTTTCTGAAACCGTACTCATATTAAATGATTTTCAGAATAAGATCTCATTGAATTTGATGATTGGAAGGAAAAAGGGCTGTATGTGTTTTGTATCCTTACAACTCAAATAAGTTTTGACCAAGATTTATAGAATATCGCCGTAAATATGAAGACAAATTCGTACAGAATTGGATCGTTAGTGAGTCAGCGATGACTAAGCTGATTAGGGACAAACCAACACCGTACACAAAATCATTTAATTGACAAGTTACCGTTTACTGACTTTCTGAGTGTAATTTTTGGTAAATAACGCATACCTGTTTACCAGAAGATTGACTATCCACAGTAGTATATTGATCAGCTTCATTAACAGTCATATCAACTCCACTATGTTCAGTGTTTACTTGTTCAAGTGTATTTAATTTCGATTTTAATATCGGATGATCAGTTAAGATTGGTGCAGCTTCTACAACCAACATTCTTGATTCATACTGATCCCAGTAATGGCGTTTTGGCCATCTCTTTTGTATAAGATTTGTACTATTTAAACAGATTAAATTTAAATTAACTGCATTATTATCACCCTCTGGATTATTGACTAAAATAGATAAACGAAGTTTAATAAAAAATTAACCAGTATAAATATGAAGAAAAATGTTCGATTGATATACTATCGAATTTTCTCAAAGCTTATAGACTTTCATCAAATACTAGCAATATCATGGAACATAAAAAACATACTTCAATTTACATTGGAACAGCCTCTTTTAAATTTGAATAAGCATATAAACCTTACTACTGGTAACAAGTCGGTTTTCATTCAGTAAATTGCTTGAACATAGTTAATCTATTGTTTACCCACCTTCAAGTTTATTTAATAACATAGGACTGATATCCTATTGATCTATTTGTAGTGGAATCGGCGGTTTAATGATTCGAAACAAAACTAAAGACAGCTTTCCCTGTTTTCCAGAGGCTTAATTTTTAGGCACCTTTCATCAGAGAGTGCAAGTTCCCAGTGAAAACTATTACCAACCACTGAACAAATCCTTTATCCTTAATTTGTTAAACTGTGAAACTATACGGTTGTAATTGCCTTACAAATATTAGAGTGAAATAATATAGACGCTTCAATGAATAATCAACCTAAATATTATTAATGAAAACAAATTTCTGTATGATATGTTGATAAAATGTTTGGCAGTTTTGATCAATTCGATTTGAGTTGATCCATCATCTATACAGTATGTTTCTAGGACAAACTTAAGCACGTTCACATTTATCTACATCACTCAATTCAAATAACTACCAGAAGACTCGCTTGTCGACTTAGAATATGCTGATGACAATGTTCTATTTTTTGAAGACGCTGACAAAATGTAGAGTCTTCTGACTACTCTAAGCAACAATGCAAGCATGTTCGGGATGCGACTCCCCCTCCCTCGAAATGCAAACTGTTACTTCAGGATTGGGTTAAGTTGGTACCTGAACTAGTGATAGGGAGCGACGTAGTTGAGAGTGTTGGCCTCTCCACATATCTCGGGAGTCTCGTCAGTGCCGATGGCCTGGCGACTGATGAAATCTCAGTTTGGATACAGAAGGCTCAATCGAATTTTGCCAACTTACGTCACTTATGGCGTAGGCGAGATATTCGTCTGCTAACCAAAAGAAGAGTCTACTGAGCAGCAGTTCGCTTCGTCCTAGTATATGGATTCGAAACAGAGCCAGTAAGAGTAGAAGGCATTCGTAAGGTATTAGTATCCGATCATAGGTATCTTCGGAGCATAGCTCGTGTATCTTGGGACAGCGGAGTAAACAATGCTGTCCTTAGGGGACAAGTACTAAGTGGGGACGGCATATCACTAGATGAAGTTTTGATTGTTCAGCAGTTGAGATTGTGGAGACGTGTTACATATTCCCAACCACAGACAGCCTGGACGTGCGATGTTGTCCGATGTGGGTGTAGGCTTGAAGAAAGCTAGGGGCGGCCAGACCAAAACATGGCACAGATCCATGAAATCACTAACAAATGGACTGATATAGGCTAACTGGTTAGGTTCGCAGGATGAAAGTCACCAATGATTAGAGACCTTAAACGGCATGGATCAGAACCGTTTGCAATGGCGCAGGTGCATCCACTCTTTGTGTTCTATCAAATTCTAACCCACTGAATTCCTCATCATTTCTATCTTTATCTTTCTAACTCTATCTCACTAAATTATACTTCCTGAGTAATTTCTTCAAATCATAATCTCCATTACCGCCAATACTTTTACTATCTCTAACATTATGGGATTTGAATTTACAATTGCATCTCTGTGCTGATAGGGTATGGCGATCTGAACTGATGTGCTTACGTAAGTACGAAGTTCTACGTTGTAACTGACTGACTGACAATTTAACTATCAATGACACATAACCACACACCAATTGGAAAGTTTATTCATCTTACATCCTCTGTAATAATGGGTCTTACTAGTGAAGTTGCAGCTTGATTAAGATCAGGAAGATATTTAGTGAATTTTCGGCCTTGTACCTCATAAAACCCATCATATAAGTTATGCATGTTAGCAAACCAGGAAAGGTAATACTTCAGCTCTTTTTGTTTTATTTCATAACAACTGCACACTAAATAGCATATGAATTTGAAAACTATTTCATTATCGTGCAACAGTGAAGCGCCGCTTGATTAAATACTTAATCTCCCCAAATATGGATAAGCGTACCGACCCCGAATTCAGTAATATCTATCACTCATAGCCTCCAAATGTAATGAAAAGGTCACATGTATTCTGCACATACATGCAAATTTACTGTGCAAACTGAATGCTTACTTGTCTCAGGTATAGTATTTGCAGAGTTTGGTAGGATTTCAAAAAAATTGAAAAGTTTCAATTTATCCACATCTAAATGATAAATGTAAATATTTGAATCTGGAATCCAATTTTGTAATAATTCCTCTTCTCTGTCGACCATTCCCATCCTATTTCTTTCCATGAATTTGTCACTTATTCTGTCTGCTTGCATTTTTGTTAACACTGATGATTTTGATGACGAATCAATAGAGTTTGACCATAACAATTTACACAATTCTCCACCGAGTAAAATTTCTACAGTAAACGCAATCGAAGTACCAGATTTGTTAATTGAAATCCACGAAATATTCAATTCATTTATTAATGTGTTATCTGAATTTTGTAATGATGTGAAATTCTCTTGAAAATATGCTGTTGAATGGTTAAATGTTAGTGTATTTTGTGGTATACGATTTAATAATTCACTTAAAACTAATTTTGTCAACGATTGGGATGTATTTGTCGATTTAATTTCTCTGCAATTGAAAATATATCAAAATTAAATTAGACAAAATTAATACAATTTCAACTGCATTTATTCGCGAAATTAATCTGTGGCAGAATAGGGAATTTTTTTACTTGGGTAACAGTATAAACATTAAAATGACTAAGAATGAATAATATTTTATGAGTACAAAATTAGTTACATTGTAAAGCTGAATTAGTCAAATTGAGTGAAAATAAGAAAAAAGATTTCAGACATTTGTGGTGGCCAGTGCTTCACTAGTGTCGTGGCAGTTGGTATTCGATATGCTCTTAGACTTCGTATGTTGCTCGTCCAGACGACTGTTACGAAATAACGCCTCACGGTTTATCAATCAGAAGATGAATACGATTTGTTGAATACGTTTATTTGGCACACCACAGTTGAACCACCAAACCACATAAAATAAATATGCGAGCACCGACGGGCAAGTAAGCGAGCGAGTGAGCGAATTAACTTTCAAGATATATATATAGGAAAATGGATGAATCATTGAAATATTTAAGAGGCTCACATTAAAGTGAATAGGATGAATATGTAGGTAGGCGGTTAGCAATGTTCAGTCCTACCAGCTTATAGAAACCAGGCAATAATAAAAGCCACTGCTACATATAAGTTATTGCTATGCAAATGATTCTGTTCCATATATTAATCAAAAGGCTTAACCAATATAAATATGAACGAACTCAAATGTATGTGGAGGTACTACACAGTAGTAGCAGCTACGTACAACTCGATATTTGGGTCAAATGCAATCAGAAAAATCCAATAATGTTTTCAATGAATTCCAAAGAAATCGTACAAATAACATTTTGGAGTGATGAGAAAGCTTGTTCGAAAATAACAAGGGTCACCAGCTTCTTAAATCTAAGAAATCAGAAGCCTTCTTCGTTGTGATCTAACTTCCGATTCAGTTCCTGATAAAAGTCCCCAAATTTTTGACATTCCTCTTATAAAAATGTAGAAAACAACAACTGTGTCGAAAGTTCCGTTGTGAAAAGCTGAATAATAGCGTACATTATTCAGGAGTATATGTAAATTACCTGACTGATACAAATAAGGTAATATTGATGGTTGCCTGAGATTAGTAGATGATTCTCTTGCTATTGATAGTCTGAATGTACTTGTTTCTAACAAGTACCATGTAGTCTTGAAACAGTATGTAATCCCTCAAGACTTTTAAGGTTTATAAAGACTGAGTGATAAGAAGACTTCTTAGGTGTGAATATAGTAATTTTTATGTTACAAAATCCACCTACACTTAAAAAGGAGTCCAAGAGGGTGTCAATTTCTTAAGATTTCAACATGCACTACCGAGCTATTATTGTGGAACTTATTCAGATTTGTTATTGTTGGGGACGTTAGATCCCCGGAACTCACTTGGAAAAAGTCCTAATTTTGTAATTTTATTCTGAGATTTTGAATTGTATGTTTTCGCGCTGAAGACGCTCACTTTGACCTTCAGCTTGCATTTCCCAATCGAGAAATCCTTAACTGTCATTGGTTGGTGGATCATTTTAGTAAGCTATTTTGTGGCTCTCACCAAGGGTGTTTTATCATTGCATAAGTAAGCTTGGGTTGTGCGCTTATTGACCTCTTACTTTATGGGTGCATGTGAAATACATTTCTCTACGTCTTATGAAGACTTCTTCCTCTAGTTAGTGAGTATATTATTTATAAATTATCGGATCAACGGTTTCATCGAATTAACTAACAAAAGCTTAACGTCTATTTTTGACATTCATTTGTTAAAGCTAAACCGTCGATTTCCATTCTGAATTCGTAATATCAAGGCATTCCACTAAGGATTCCCACAATCAGTTTCACTCCTTAACAACAACCATGAGAAAATACAAATATTCACAACAGATTCATATTCTTGAACTTAATTGAGAAAAAAATCATTACTATCAAGTGGGATCGTAAACATGGAGCTTATTCATTTCTTTATTAAATAAACTATCATAAAACTAAACAAAATTTTCCTGTAAACGTTTGCTAGCATAGTAGTAATTAAATACTAAATCGAGATATTAAATGATATATATATAAACGTTCGAAAGTTGAATTACCTTCTGCTTAGATCAAATACTCGTATTTTATTTTGATCAGTAAGACATGCCAAATAATTGGCACATTGGGCAGTCACAGTAATACTACCTTCTATTTCTGTAAAACTGATTAGTTGTTTAACACAGCCCTAAAATATTAAATAAAATACAAGTTTAGTGTTTAATAATGTATTCGTTTAACAAAAATCTAAGTTATTTTGGACTGTATTAGCAACAAAAGTGGAAAAAGTATCAATCAATACGTCCTTAAATTTGAAACAACCGTTATATTAGACAAATCTACTGAGCAACTGTATTATCCTTTTCAAGGAATCATTTATCTTGTGCACGAACACTACACCTCTAGGCCGCTGATATATAAATCTAACTCCAGTCAGTCAGCGATATTGCTTGATCTTATTCGATTGTCTTGTATGGCAACCTTCCGCGTACCTGATACAGTCCAAATCTATTGGCTATGGCTTCTCACTAGAACTCTTGAAATTTCTGATCAAACGTAGTAACTAGTGAGCACATGATAAATAAAAGTTTAGTGTAGAGCAGTTCTTGAAACAAGAGAAATATAAATTGGTATGACACCATAAACTAGAGTAACGTTTGCATTACATAAAACAGATGGGAATGGATTGTTATTATTTTTTTCATTTGAATTAATCTTAGATTCAGTCGAAGTATAAAGACAGAATATAACTTCAGAAGTGTGTTATTGTGCTTTGAAGTGATAATGACTTAAAAACTGTTTCTCATCGACCTGATTTTAATTAACTATAACTAATTTCAAACAACCTTATTTTTCTTCATGATCAATCAATGTATTATGAAATAAATTTGATTTTCAGATTAAATAAACTTACCTCCAAATTACGAACTTGCAATTTATATGGTTCAGTTGTAAATATGTTACTTTGATGCATCCCAACAAACTTAAATTCACAAGGAAAACTAGCTATAAATGGTAAATGAAACGAAACAATTACAAGTCAAATAGTTATCAATCAATTGTTTTTGCCTGTAGCAATCAATAAACTAAAATAGGGAAGTCATTGAAATAGGTAAGTTGTGTAGAGGTCATGGTACATAAATTAAGTAGTAAAATATCACTTTACCTAATACACATGCTTGATAAGTGATATTACAAAGTGACTTACATCTGTGGAACAATTATTTCCTTTATATAACAACTGGACATATCAGTGTGTTGAGTCAAAAATTCCAGGCTACACACAAGTTAACGGTTTATTTGTGGTTAATTTACATAATAGACTGAAATCGGCTTAGAAGCATTGGAAAGGTTTTTTCGCTTAGTATGCTACATTTCACACCATCACACTATTTACTTAAAATTTAGTTATCCACAAAAGCAATCAAGCCTTTTTTTAATTCGTTTGTATTGGGGCTGTTTGAATCTTCCCAATGATGTTTAGGATTATGAATAAACAACCACTTTGGCATATGTGCATCCTTGCAGATTTCTTCGATAGTCCTTAGGTAACAAGCATTATTAACAGAGATGATTTTCCGTCCAGTTGATGAGTCTCGAAATATGACAAAACGTGCCTCATGGATTCCACTACTTGGTACCATCCATCTCTGTTAGTAATCCCTTTTTGTTGTTACTGTGACATAATTTTGGTTGTCAATTTTCTTTGTATTAACAAGTCTTCATGTCTTTTGAGAAAATTTTTCCTAGAATTCTTAAATTATTTAAGATACACAAATTCGACAATCTGGACACTTTTTATGATTCTTCCATATTGACAGACGTAAAGATTTCTGATCTTTGATACAAAGTGTGTACACCGACTTTTAATGATTTATACTATTGTTTAGATTGTATGCGGCTAATGAGAAATCACGAAAAGTAATGAATTCATGTTGTAGAGCAACGTTTTTTCTCTCTTTTGGATCGAATAAAAACATGAATAGTACACTGAGCTAAAAATAAACCAATCAGTATCGCTCACTATATATATTTTTTCCGTTAAATTATTTTTATACTTCGAGGGCTGAAATTTAACTTACTTAGATGAGATAAATAACCACCAGCGGACTGTTTATAAACAAAAATATGATGACCATTCCAATATGCTACATGTTCCTAAAAATTCAAAACAGATATACAGTTATTTCTTTTATTTAGTTTCATGGGACGGTAAATGAAGGTGAAAATACTAAGAACGTAAATACCACACAAGAATTTTGTGAATCTGTAGGTAATAATTCTACTGAATAATGAGTTGCTATTTGCATTAAACAATACATACTAACATCAACCATGATGGACTGCAGAAGAAAGGTGTGCAAATCTCATCTAAGTCTAGAAATACATTAATCGTTTTCATCATTAAAACTGTATATCTCTGAAATAGCTGTAAAATAAAGAAATACTAATCAGCTACAAACAATGAAGACCAAGCTTTCACAACTAATATCATCATATCAAGAATAACTAGGCAAAATGCAAGTCAAACAAGTCGAAATGGTAGTAGCATCTATAGTGTTAAGAAAAAAGGTCATAAAAAGTACAGTCCGAGAAGAAATAGTGAAGTTAATTTAATGTTTATTACCAAACACCGATAAGAAAGTGAATGTGTGGTGTGAGCTACTAATAAGTAGTATATGACGTGAGTGTCAACGTAATGTCTGGCAGTGGAAGATGGGGAGAGATCAAGAAAGGAAGAGTTAGAAAACAATGGAATCTGTATGAAACGCATGAATAGTGACAATGGATTGATGTTTGGCAACAGGAACAGTCTAGTTCGATAGGATGGACTGATAATTTGCAAATGAACGATTTACGATATGGTTTTCCAATTTTACTGAGTAACTCTGTAATTCTCGTTGCCCAACGTGTGTTCTCATTCACTACAAACGTATCTAAGAATGATGTCAATCGATTTTGAACCTCATCCTAACCTCTCCGATTACTTCTAATACCATTACTATCTCTTCTACTATTGGATTTGAATTGACAGTTATATCTCTGTGCTGATGTGGTATGGCAACATTAACTGATGTACTTACGTACGAAGTTCTACGTTGCGTCCTACTGATTGACTGACTGACTTATCACTGAAACTCCTCAAGGGTTGATCAAGGTCCGCAACTAAGATGTCCGCATTATACTATACCCTGATTTATGCATACCTAGCTTTCCTAGAACATACGTCTATCTAAGTCCAATCGCTCACCAGAGTAAGTCATAAAATGTATTTAGTAGGTAAAAAAAAAAGACAGTTTCATCCTTAGGCCCAAAAAAATCAATGGCTTCCCATACTTTGAAAAAGCGAATACTTATTTATCCTACAAATTGATATACAAACTCAACAAAGTAACAATATAGATCACGTATAATGTCCGTTTTCGAATCTGACTAAGTGAACAAAAGGTCTCACACTTAGTAAAAATTAGTTTTCTTCCTGTGTACGATTTGTTAGTAAACACAACTTCGTCATGATGAGCTTTGCTTGTGTAAAATACTAGCTAAACAATAATCACGCTAAAGATTCCGAGTAAATTCTATGGCTTTTAGAAAGATAACAAATTTATTCTGATTACTGAATCATTCAGGCAACTTAAATAGAAATAATGATTCGAAATCTACCATTTACTAGAAATAACAGTACAGTTGTGTAATTACAAAGGAATTTGTCAATACTTTATCATAATCAAGAATCAAATTAAAGTACACTAAAGACAGTGTAACTTATAATTCTTTTTTCTACATCTAGAAAAGCATTTAATGATGTTTAAAAGTTTTACTGAAAGTAACAAAAATTGAAAGATGGATTTTATGGAGACTATACTATGCGATATCCTTATGTACTTTTATAGTGGCAAGCTAGTATCTCTTGATGGCATAATATTTCGTAGCTTTTATTAAACTATGTAAAACATTTTGTTTGGTCTGGGGAGGGGAACTTATTTTGCCTTCAATCATAATTAATTCATTGATTAATTGAATGCAACTGATTGAGTAGGCTTAAATGTATTCATTAGATTTTAAAACATAAAGGACCATGGAACATTAGATTTATTCTGAAACCGATTAAATTAAGAGTACAGCATGTTTCCAAGGTAACAATTAGAAGCCGCGTTTGTACAGGTTTGAAATATTACCCTGTTACTGAATTATTCCATTTCGAGCGGACTATTAATAACAGATCCGACTTACAATTCAAAAGCTTTTTAAGCATGATGATACATAGACACGTTGATTAGTTCTGTGGGAGAAGTAGCTTTAATCATTAACCATAAAAAGACTTCTAATTAAAAAGTTGACAAAAACCGGACTCATTAAGAGGTTATGAGGTAAATCTAATTTTTAATTCAAAGCAGCAGAGAGTTAGCAATGAACACCTTTTATTCAATGTTTATATTCAGTCCTAAATAAAATTAGGTTGAGAGTTGTTTTTTTACAGACACTAAGATTTCAGCCAAGTATACATAGAATTTTTTCAGGGAATACTATTTGGTATCAGGTGTAAACAAGTTCTACAATAAGGTTTCATACTAGTTTTCACTCATCAATAAGGTATGATGCACATACTGTAATGTAACTTGTCTCATTCGGGATTGGATTCAAAGGCTTTATCAAACCCAACTATGAAGACCACGACAAAGTATTGGATACTTTTATTCTAAATCATTAGTTTAAACATTCTAGTCATATGGCGAATAGATGTTGGTCATAATTGGCTGTTGCTGTTATCCAACATCAGGTCAAAACTAGAATTCCATCGCTTGGAATGCAAATATTTTAAACTAATGACCATTATGCACGGGGAAATGAGGAAAGTGTTTTATCAATCACATAGTTTATATATTTTATACAGAATGATCCGAAACATACTTGTGTACAATATAAAGCCTTAATTTGATCTTCAACTTGTACCTCGAACTCATGAAGTGAAGTACTTAAACCTTTGGCATTCTGATTCATAAATTTATGAGTCGTTAGCTGCTTTGATTTGGTTAGAATAGATTCGTGACAGTATGTGGAATCTTCATCTTTATTCATGTATATATTTCCCTTTTTATTGTCGGGGATATTTTTCATTGCTAATAAATTCTTTGTAATACTTGAATTTGTTTCGTTTACATGTTGGTCAGATATTGTAGTAAGCACTGTTAATGATTTCGGACCAGTTTGTACAACAGCACATCCATATCCATAGAAATGTGTACGTAATGGTTGCCGTTGAAGAATATATACACTAGATTTGGTTTGTATATCTGAAAATTCGATAAGAGTTTGATATTTTAACAGGTATACTTATCGAAAAAATGATACGTTCAGCATGATTAGGTAGCTGACAAAAACCAAGAACTTTATTGCATATTTGTTAATGGTTACTTTCGATTACGATTTGGTGAAATCTAACCTTAGTTTCTGTTGTTTTAGGTTTGAATAGGTTTGACGATATAATTACTCCAAACTTTGTGAAGTTAAAAACATTACAGTGATTATCTAGAAACATTTATTTTATGAATCTTTGTTTCAATTTGCAAACATCACCACACCAATTTAGTTGGTAATCTATCCTGGAGAATACATTATGTTGGTAGAGCTTAATCAGAAGTATGATAACACCAAGAACTTGATAACTGAACAAAAATGTTAATGAAACAGAACCCTTGTTTAAACAAAAGTAGTTACACGCTAAAAATATCTATCTATAAGGTTAAAAATCACCTTGACCTTCATATGGCTTTTCATTTGGCCGGTGAGGTACGACTGTAATTGCTAGCTTTTCTTGCCGACAATTCCAAGCTTGTGAATTCGATTGATATTTTAAATCCTCCGATACTGAAAATGATTCATCTTCCATGTTTGGCAAAAAGGTACTTGGTTGTGGATGCCAATTCGTTTCCAGTGTCTTTTCTGTCATCGTATTTGTGCAGCTATAGAGTCCACAACTATCTATATAGTCATAGAGATTTTCGTTTGACGTTAAATCTGACCGCAGAACATGAGACAAATATTTAGGTGATTCCATTTCTGTACAGTACTGCCAAAATGCAACCACGCCATTGTTAAAAGTCGCGGCTAGAATACCTTTTTCAAATCCCAGAAAGAATGTTTTGATTTTAAATATTGTATTGTATAAATGCTATATAAAATTAGAACCTATCGTATATAGACCAATTAGAAACATTTACATTATTATCTCACTAAGTATAGCTAGTATAAGAAATCAATACATTAGTTTCTGCAAACAGTATTTTGTAAATACAGAAGACTTCACCTGTTGGAATAAAGCTCAAAAACAGTCAAATTTTTATGAACACTTTCTTTGTGCCTAAATTTATTTTCTCCAAAACAACTTAACCGTATTTTCATCATCTATCATTGAGCTATCGCAAACGAACCTCCGACTTCTAGTAAATGGGTTAATCATAGTGGATATAGGACCTGATACATAGGCGTATTGACTCATTTTATCAGCACAATGAGATAAAGTTATTCAGGAAAATTAAAAAGCTATAAAATAATGATACCATCGACAGTATTGAGAAATATGCACCCAGATGAAAGAGTGAATTCTATTAGTAATGACAGTAACATTATATTATCAATAAAGGGAAGCCGAACTGTTCTGAAACATTTTTAAGGCCATACGTTTGTTCTACAGCACAAAACTTTTATGAAGTGTTTTCTACAAACCAACAATGTTGTGTTATTAGTTTACCAATATTGCCTTTTTTTGTACATTTGATTATTATGGCACTAGATCAGTTGACCCAGTTTATTTATTGGTACTATTCATATCAATGTTGCTGTATCTGAATGAAAATTAACGACTACGATTTAGATTTTGCTTCGAAAATATGACTTAAACGACTTATATATAAAAAGGAGTGCATACAAATCTCCTTTGACGACGCATATAAAGTCTGCAAAACGTACATATATCACACAAGTAAAACTCTAAACTTACGATATGTTTCTGAGTAAGAAACATTAATCACCTTTACATTACTTTTGCTACTTTCAGGAATAAGTGCGCTAGGGGTTAAGGTACAATTATCTGCTTTTTCAATGTCCCAAAGTTTGACATTAGCTTCTCCAAGTGCCATAGCAAGTGTAGTTTCTCCAGCCCATGTAACAGACGGTGGATTGTACATTGCTGACGCCAGTTTCATCTAAAAGTTATACAAATGTTTCCCTCATGACTAATAACCTGAGGGCAAATTATGCAAGAAAAGTTTTGATAAATAAGTCAAGATTTAATTCTGTCATATAACCTAAAATGTGACAGCTCTCAGTGATTCCAGTAAATTTATAGTTTTGCGGAAATTAAAAATATCACAAGAGATTTCCGAGTCGCCTACTATTAAATGCAATGAAATATAACTTTTTTAACCGAATGGGCAAAACAAAGTTTGAAACCACTGTCAAATTTTAAGACCCCTAATGACTTTTCACCAAACAAACGATTTAACCACATTTTATGTGAAATATTATGAATGAAAATCACCGAAAATGGATAGTTGTCAATGAGAAACTAGGGTATGAACAGTGTCCGAAAGCAGAAACCCTGTGTCTATTAACTGTAATAAGCAATTCCATCACTCACTCATCCAGATTTAAATGAATAATTTTCTTAAAGTTTTGATAAAGCATAACGGATTTGACAGAAACATACTTGTGTATACTAATAATTTTAGGACAGTGAGTATTTGAGAATTTAATCCGTTATTCGCTCGTTTGAAAACTGCAGATTATCAGTAATGAGGCCATTCCCGATTATAATAATTTTGTTAAAGCCTGGATAGCTTCAAACTAATTTAGCGAGTTTTATACTACAGAGGTTCTTCCGCCAAGTCGTCTAGATGGGAAACTATGTGTAGTGAAGTACCTCATGATAGAGCTTTGGGGCCAGTGCTGTTCCTCCTGTATGTAAATGAACTTACCAATCCCACATATTTATATGGTGATGATATCAAGATATGGAGGGCGATAAAAATGAGAGTAATACTCTTCAGCTTCAAAATTACCTGTAGACATTATCTAAATAATCTAGAATTCGGCAGTTGGCAATAAACACTTCCAAGTGCATCATGGTGCATTTTGGTAACCACGACACAGACAAATACACAATGAATAACACTGAGCTACCTGTTGTCGAGAGACACAAAAACCTAGAGATCATCAATAGGCAAAACTGGAAAACTGCTTTACATTGCCATTTGATGGCGGCCAGTTTTTAGAACCATATGGCTTATACGTAGAGCCTTGAGCTATATAGATGCTGAGACATTTCTGACTTGGCAGACAGCGTTCATGTGTCTTAGATTTGGGTGTTACTTACAAGCAACCAGTCTCTGCCTGAAAAAGACAGTCATCTGTTGGAAAAGGTTTAAAGAACCGCAACTAAGATTATTCCCGGAACCACAAAGCTTCCGTATTAAGAGAGGCTAGTTAAATCAAATCTATTTTCTCCACCATATAAAAAGGATTAGAGGTGACTTGTCGAGTTTTAAAGCTATGTAATGATATATTTGTATCTGGTATACCCTCATTTTTTCGCATTCTCAAACTGACAAATTAAAAGGAAATTAGAAATATTCACAAGCCCATCTGTCGATACATTCAAGGGGAAGGCGGATCAACTAAGGAATCAAAACTGTTAGAACTAACCCAAGCAACCCAGCCTACTATACTTTCAAAAATGAAACTGATAAATGAAGTCATATAGTATCCACCTGAAAAAATTTGTTCGTTAATAAATTTTGCATTCGGAATGACTTGAACCTGTAACTTACATGTTGGCACAAACAGTTCAGTAATTAAATACATAATTGCTATAATAATCAAATTATCGCAGCACATTGGGAATACAAAGACAAGTAGGTACAGCGTTGGGGGAAAGTTGATGCCCGCGCTTGGTCTCACAATGATCTTAGGCAATCAGGAAGCCACAATCTTAAGACTACAGATCGCTTCCGTGCAGTTACAGCTGAGAGGATCAGAAAGACATTTATCGAATGGGTTACTAGTATGTTCATGACAGTATATATCATCTAAGTGATATCCAAACTTGAAAAGTGAGTTCAGGCTGCAGGCTTCTGTTTGAACGGTAACTCAGATATCTTAGAAAAAGAGAGGATATATTAGGTCCAAATTATTGTTATAGTATTCTTTTTATCAAAATTAAACCACCTCTTAAGCTACGTTGGAACAGAATAAGGAGTTCTCAATTTTCAAGAAACTCTACCATAAACCTCGGAGTTCTAGAGTTGCCCTTTGTACCTTTTCTGTCTACTAGGTCAAAACAACCTAGAGGACATAGCAGAAAGACAACTAACAAAACACGCGTGAAATATGTGCTATCACACTGATTTATCAACTCCTGGAACCTGGTGCCCAAAGAAGATGTGTCAGAACTTTCTGTTGACTCGTTCTAAAGAAGACTAGATGTTCTCAAAGGCTTAGTAGAGAAGGACTAACACAGGCCACAGGCCTTCGTCTTCAATACATGAAACTTAATTTGAAATTAAGTGTCAGGAGTGATCATTTTTTGTATACTGATAACTGAAAGCAAAACTCGACACATCGATATTTCTGGTTTTATATCGACCTCTAAAAAGATTCATAGATCACACATTATGGTGCAGAAACAGTAGTTTTCATTTACCTTTGTCACTTCTTTGACAGATAGTTCAGTGTTCACTTTGACTTGATAGTGGTACAAAAGACCTTTCTCAGTAATGCTTAACAAAATATTTGCACTTTTGTGAGGAAGAATAGTTAGAATACATCCTTCACAGCATGCCAAGTTATTCACTTGACTCACTGAAATTTCATTCTCCTTCGACCTGTCGTACTTAACGTACATGATGCGTCCTATAGACCTTTGGAACTTACGTAAAATCATCAATTACCATTTGAACATCCAATGAGATAAAAGCCAAAACTTGGAAATTTCGATTCGTTATGTGGTTTATACGGAGTTTTGGAGTAGGCGGATTCAACAGCATTAATTTCTTCACTAAAAACTCATTCGAAATAAATAATACTTTCACTACCCAGAACTGGAATTGAACAGTGGTAGCGTTACGGATGAACTTCTTCCAGCATAGTTTTGTACATTCAGAAACAAAGCATATGATATATTTGTGTTAACATTCAAGATGAATACAGGCTTCGTGTCAACGTTTCCATTTTTGACCCACCAAAAAACATAAATATGTGCTTTGTTATCTGTCATGAATATTGAATAACCATCCAAAGACCAAACTATAGACGTCACAGATCCCTCTAGTTTATAATCCATGTCTAGAGCGCTATGTTCAGAAAAATAGCAAACAGTCGTACAACCGTTATCCCATCCCACCAGAAGTAATGACTCATAAGGATGCCAAGAGATACACTTAGGTATGCAAGGCCTGGTTATAGTTGCATCTTTACTGTTTGTGGCCTAATTTATCAGTAATATCAGTTGAAATTTACTTTTAAGGCTGATATTATAACTTCACCCGATTCTTCTCCAATATGTGATGCGATTGCCAAAATCGGCATGCGAGGATGCCATTTAATTTCAGTAATTTTACCAGAAAAGCTGCCTAACCTCTCACTTAAAAATAACGACATTGTGACCTAGAAGGAGATCGTAAAGATGGCTTAGTAACAAACTAACAACATCAAGCCATTAGCATGTTTAAACAAAACTTTTAATATATAATATCGTCCTTATGAGTTTATTTAAACCACTCGATTACTTCATGGTCGCTTATTTTTGTTTTCGAGAAGCTCCGGATAACTCGGTATCTCCGATAGATGGTAGTCCAGCCACACGACAGCAATAATTCTTGTCAGTTTGCAGATACTCACCAATTTACAAGTTCCGTGATTTTGGTAATGTGTTTGTCTTAGGGCAGTGGGGATTTCAGATAACAGCAGCCATCACATCGCCAGGCGAGAGGTTCTTTAATTACAATGCGGAGAACAATAGTAAGAAATTCTTTCGCTAATGACAAGATTTCAGAACTAAGTAAATAAATAAATAAGTTATTTAATTTGTATTATTGATACTGTGAAATGGCTAAAGTATTATGATAAATAAGGAAAAATAGATGATAATGAGCGGGGTAAAATAGGTTGATGACTTGAGGAAATGACAATTGTAGCAGAAAGCTTGCTTCAAGACATGCATCAGGCACTGCTGGTATGCAGGGAATGATAATCCATATGTCAGTACATGCTCGTCAAGTTTCCTGTTGAAGTTACCTACTAAGTGGGGTCCGATCACTTCGAATGGGAGAACATTCCATATAGGGATAACTGTTAACGAGAAAAAGTGTGAGTGTACCTAAATGTTTGCTCTAAAGATACATTTAAGAGCGGACTTCAATGGAAGGTGTAAGATTTTTTTGTTACGTGAAGCAGAACGTTAATGACATCACAATTTGACTGATTAAGTTTAAAGCAATCGTGTACTCACTAACCAATCTTCTCTTACATTAACTGAATCCTCTTCAATCTTTATGGACCTCCAAATCTCAGCTTCGTAGGATAAATTAGTGCCACTGAGGTATTTTTATCTAGATAGCCATTGATATATATCACTAATAGGAGTTTCCCTAAGACGGTTTCCTGTGAAACTTCCAATAGTGAGACCTGACAGCTCTCGAGAAATCTACCTATCTTAGTAGGAATCCTCCTGTTATCTGGGTAGTTTTTGAGCCAAGATAGAAGTAGATCAGTTAAGCCTATCTTCTCAACCATCATGATTAGAACAGCACAAGGTATTGTCGAAAGCTCTTGCGAAATCCAGGAATATTATATGAACCTTGTTTTTTGTTCCCAGGTGGTTGTCCACCTGTCACGTACTACGATAACGTTTGATGCATACGATCTGCCTTTAACAAACCCGTGTGAGTCTTCAAGGGGATGCTGCTCTTATGCATGCAATATGTAATTCTCTATTTCTCCAGTCCTTCCATTACCTTCTATAGTATTGGGAGTAATCTCACTGGTCTGAAGCTGCATGGATCATTCCAATCTTCTCCTTTGAAGACTGAAGACACAGATTCTTGTTTGCATTATTCCGGGAGTTTGTGTGAATCTAGTGAATGCTTAGAAAATTCATACACTAGGGAACTGACATTTTCCAACTATGTTCTCAGGACTGTCGGGCGGGATGTTAGTTTCCAGTTATTAGTGCTTGGCCCCCTTCTAGACGATGCACATACAATACCGTCCTCATTAACCTGATTTTCAAGGTTGATAAATCCTTCCAAATGTGTGTTTGCGGTAGTACCAGAATGATACTTTTGCAATGATTAGTTAGGTGCAATATGACGTTAGGGCTTTAAAATGACTGTCAGTGTATATCACCATTCTAACCCCTGTTTTACTTACCCATCTTATCGAAAGTGGCATGTCTTGAGTGACCGGAGATCATATGTTCCTGGCCAACTACTATTTAAATCTTAGTCTTCTGACGATGTAAAAGAAGTACTTGATCGTTAGTCTAGCCAACTTATGCATATCTGCGGAAGAATTCAATCTCTAATTTTCAAAAAGTACGATCTATTCAGGATCGCTGGTTTGGTGAGAGCTGACCGATGAATGATTTTAGCCAGTAAAGTGTAGTCGTTAGATGTAACAGATAACAAATTCATATCAAGTGTTGTCCATTCCAACCTCGACATTTAGGTCTCCAATCAGAATGGTCAAATCCTTTGATGAGTATCTGTCGAAAATTCACTGTAACCTTTCGTAGAATCGTTCTTTAGCATCGTCATTTTAGTCGTTGATGGGTGCATAGCATTGGATGACGTTCATTGTAATGCCCTCTCTCTGTGTTTTGAAGGATGCTTTAATGATCCTTGGTCCGTGAGTTTCCCATCCTATAAGAGAATTTTGTGCTTGTTTGGATAGCATCAGTGCAACTCCTTGTTTATGTGAAGCATTTTCCTCGTTGATGGGTGCATAGCATTGGATGAATGATGAATGAAAGTTAAATCAAGGGTTGTATATATGCTTGTGTAGTGTTCTTCATTATGACGTTCGCCTGATAATGGCTTGACAGACCACTGAATAAAGAACTTTTAAGTCCCCGGCATTATCAAGGCTATTATTTAAGTAGTAGGATGAGGTGCTGAAAAAAGAGAAAGTAAAAGAAACGAGTGAAGAGCAGCAGATAAATTATTCATATTTAAGCCTTATTCATGACTCAGTAGATACCTTTTTAACTAAAACATTAAACGTATGATTACTTAGACCTTTCACTTGCTGTAATTTTATGGAAGCTTTAGCAGAAGTTCATTATTCTTTCTTCACTGAAGGGCTACATCGTAAGATCCGCCTGAGTTGCCCTCGCTTCGAATTGTTTAGGCTATGTGAACATCAAGGTTGCCCGTCGCTATTACTCCATCAGAGCATCTACGTCGTCGAAGTTGCTAAGCTTTTTATAAAATTCACCCAAAACGGTAACCAGTGAAATTCCAGACGAAGACAGCGAAAAGACAATGGAGTGTGTTTCTGTGAAACTCAGTTCTTATTGTTCATTAGGTCAGAAGGTGTTAAAGTGATTGTCGACTGAAATCAAGTCTAAGGAAATCTGGACTGCCCCAGCAAATAACTGTTCAACGATCAACTATTTATTACACTGCTGATGTGATATTGTGAATCTTAACGATACAGAGTATGGCGTTTCCGTAAGAGCATTTACTGTTTCGCATAATTGTGGTAAGCTGTTATTACATAAATTTACTTTACTGAAGATGGCTACAAAGTAGCGGAGTACTTGCACACTATGTTTACTGTGGTATTCTACCACAAAACCATCTGCACAGACCAAAACGACGCAGTACCGAGCGAAATGGAAATGCCAAGAGGAGATTTGTTAATTATGTGCATTTGAAAGATTGTTAGGGCTGTTAAACGAAAATAAAATGACTACACGTGCATCACTGAAAAGCCAGAGGTAATGATACGGAGCCTGGACGTGTCCCGATTAGGCTTCTGGCTGTGAACATCTAAACCGCTAACTGTTCAACAATAGCTAAGTAAATATGTATTCAATAGATGCTCGTCAATCGGTTCTTCAAAAATGAGTACGTTAAAGTTATGATAAATTTTAGACCAGCAAGTTGCACAGTTGTAACATCTCAGTTATATCTATATTGGAAGCGATTGCTGATCTGTCCAATAAAATGTATGGAAAAACGCTATCAAAGTATGCTCATCGACTGTTTTAATGGACGGGAAAGTTTAAAGATGGAGTTTTTCTTGCATCCCTCTTGATAACACAAGTAAAATATGTACTCTTAACTCTTTAATGAAAGAAACCTAGGAAAACGATGACACTCATTGGAATTTTGTAGCGATCCAACGATTTCAATGATCAAATTTAGCTTTGGTGTAATAAAAAACTCCTGCAGGTAATGCGACGTGCCTGTAGACTTTCGACTTCTGGCAGTAAACACATTGCTGTGCAAATTTTCATAGATCTTTGTTAATATTTGTTCATATGAACGTATCCGTAACAACAACAATTATCATTGTGGATTTTGTGTGGATGCGATGTGTTGTGAAATTTTCGCATGTTACAACGAACGAAGGGATATCCAATATTCAATATCTTTTTCACTAGCTAGTGTAAACTAATTGATTCCTTTGCGCTCGATTCTTGTTCTGTTGGTACGGTTCCAGGTGTTCCGTAGTGTCCAATGAATGGGGGTCCAGCCACTCGACTGTCTAATACTAGTCAGTTGACAGTTGGTTATGAGTTTCTATGTCTCGGGATCTGAATGAGCACATTTGTTTCAGAGAGGTTCTAGGCCACAGGAAGTAGCACGATATGTAATGGATCTCTGTTGGAACTCTTGAAAATATTGCACAAAAGAGAAACAATAAGGCAGCAATCAACATCAGCTGAACAAGAGCAGAGAAAAAACAAGGCACAAACTGAATTCACAGAGGCAAACAACCAAGTGAAGGGGAGCAGAAGAGCCAACAAATGTTAACATGTGGAAGATCGAGCAATGAGGAGGAAAAGGCTGCAAGAGAAGGAAATTTACAACGATTGTACGATCAAACAGAGAAGCTCGCCGGAAACGATTGTAAACCAGAACGACCAGTGAAAAGCAAGGATGGGAAAGTAATCAGCAACATTGAAGAACAGCTAAACAGGTGGGTACAGCACTTTAAGGAAGTGTTGAATTGACTAACCCCACTGAACCCAACCAAAATCGTAGCAACATCGATGAACCTCCCGTTTAATGTTTATAGCCCTTATTTTCCTTGTAGGACAAGCCCTCACATAGAACCCTCGATTTTGATGGAAACGAGGAAGGCCATGGAACACATTATACCAAGAAATGGAGACAGACATGGGCTGAATGAAAAAATATTGGACAGAACTGGAAAGGCAATCTCAGGACAGACTAAGTCGGAAAACAATGGTCAGAGGTCAATGCTATTTTTTGGTAACAGGCTTCTTTGGAATATATAACTTTGTAATTTCCAATGTGGTTAACTTGAATATTTCCCTACAATGCTGCCATAGTCAAAGGAGATTTCAGGTTTAAAACTTTTGACTATGTTGACAAATCGATTACCAGAATAACTGTCTCCAGTTTTTCTCATTTCAGGCTATCTTTTGCATGCGTCACATTAGTTTTTAAAAATGCCATTTACTTTAAGGCCATAATCTTTTGTCCAGCATTACATTCCATAGCTGACAAAATCTTTTGGATCGATTGTGGAGATGAGCAGCGAAGTGGGTGACAAGGCTGAAGAATAAAACGTACGGAGATACACTTTTACATTCGGTATTATTCTCTCTGATTCACAGGTGAATCAGAGGTGATCTGATAGTGGCGTACAACATATTCAGCACGCTAAATAATCCCAACGTGAATATCTTACCGAAGAATCAGTACCACGCCGCTGAAGGTAATCCTTGAAAAATTGCACATCAAAGAGCAAACACACAGGTTTGCGCACGCTTTTTCTCATCAAGAGTCATTGCAACTTGGAATGCTGTCCTAGCCGATGTTACCACAGCCCCCTCAGTAGACAGCTTTAAAAAGAGACTTGATAAGCCCATAATCCCATGCGGGATTATCTACTACATAGCGTGCTGTGTTTGGTGCATTTTTTGAGCCCTGCTAGTTGTTATTATCGCCATCTCCTCAGATTAACTTAATCCATCTAGCTTATTATTTCCGATTCCTCTCTCTCATTCTTCATTACCAATGAAGAAAATAAATTATCCGTTTATTTACTTAGTTCTGAAATCTTATAAGCATCAGACTCTTCTCCTTATTGTTCTCCAAATTGGGACTTACTGACCTCCGGCCTTGTAACGAGATAGCTTCTAATATCCAGAAACCGTATTGTCACGAAACAAACGTGCTTATTCAAATCATGGGACAAACTCATAAACAACTGCCAAATGACTAGAATTATTTCAGTCGAGTCGCTAGACCGGCATCCATTGGAAATTACCAAACAACTGGAACCTTACCGAAAGAACAAAAATCGAACGCGAAGAAATCAATTGGTTTACACTAGCGCGGGAAAAGATATTGGGTATTGGGCTTGGCGGCTTCTCCGAAAAATCTGCAATTTAGGAAAAAATGGGCCGTCGTTCTGTGAATACCACCAAAAGTGGAAAGTTTATGAACCCAACAGATCAGGCGAGAAAAGAAGCGAGAAAACGGGAACTTAAGAAAAACAAAAAACAGCGCATGGCCGTACGTCATGCAGTTCTTAAATCCAAAGATCCGCTACAATTACTAGAAGAAACAACCCTCTACGACAAACAAGGTAGACTAAATAAGGCTTAAAATAGCTTTGCCTCAGAGTATGATCCCAGCGTTCAAGCTCAACTCAGCGAAAGGGTCATTCAAGAAAAACGTCGGAAGCTCTTAGAAACATTCGATCGTCTTGTTATGCTATACGTAAATGAGTTGACATTGCTGCTAATATTCCATTCAGAGGAAAGAGGATGCAGAATATGCCAACCGGCTTCAAGCAGCACGCCAAGACTATGACAAGAGACGACATGAAATGATGCTTTACTATGGTAAGCTTTTATTCCGGCTTAATGTCTGTAGAACAAGTCAAGTTAGCCGAAAGAGTAAAAGCTAGTGAAATTCCGCTCCCAAAACTGCCACAATCACAAATGGGTTTAATAACGTCCGATATACCACTGCCTCCTGGAGGTTACGCTAAAGGTATTCTGAAGAAATCGTTAGGGTAAGTCTAGAAGTTCATTGTTATCCATTTCATTCACGATAAAAGTAATAATTGTTTCTACTTGCAAACTAACTGCTAGTTATATTTTCTCATATTTTTTCCGTAGTCCATGATAGTTCATGTTTGTACTAGTTCATGCTTTGTATAGTTGGTCGCGTTTGTGGTGGACTGAAATTGTGAATATTTAAATGACAACAATGCTAATATAGATATGTTTGCATGAGATAAAATTAACTATTAGTCGCGACTGAACATGAAAAGCAGCCAGATGTATCTATATATTTATATGGCACTCATTGATAAGAAGTTTAGCTGTGATCTTTGAGTTCTCATACCCACACTTCAGCAATAAAGATAAAAAGATGTTATTCGAGAGTATGAATTTTGTTTGACTAAGTTTAATGACATCTTTGTTACTGTGTAATTTCACTTTACCATCTTTGGGTCTCATTTATGTCGCTGCATTAGGTTCGAAGAAAAGGAATGATTTACTTCAGTTTCTGTTTGTTTGATTTCATGCCAATAGAGCTCCAGGCCTTCCACCCAGTATACTTCCCGCAGGTCGTAAACCCCCCGGACCACCTCCAGGAACACCTCCTGAATTGTCAGACAGTGAAGAAGAAGATAGTTCTCTTGACATTACCTCAAAGCAACGCAAGATCCGGTTTGCCGATGCAGATCCTACGGTATGTAATTTCATATACATGTAATAACCTCGCTTTAACAGCCGGAGCAAGAAAAACTTATTGCTGAATCATCTCTCCAACTTGGCGAAAAGTTCACTGGTGGATTTACAAGTAAGTCAAGCTTTTAAAACTTTCCTTTTAAGTATGCAAATTATTTTCGTGTTGCTTATTTAAGATATCACGAAATGGCGTGTTGTCAATTTTGAAATTTTTTGGCTAGTGAGTGCATGTTTCTACCAGCAGATATAGCGACCGTAGCTGCTATTTTGACGTGATGGTCCGGCTTGCCTATCCAACCGAGCTATATTGGTTGGAACACATGCTCCTTTGGGTCCTATCATGCCAGGCAGGTCGATTGGAGAACGATGAGACTAAAAGCAGCTACTCAAGGTCTGAGGGCGAAGTCGTACTGCTGACTACAGAGGGGTATGGCAGCAGTAAGGTGTTTCCCTCGGACAACCAGCATCTACAGCGATGCTGCCTTTTCACAAGAAAGAAGGGTCAGAACAGGTCAACCCTGAAAATGTCATACCTCACCCTACCTCACGGATTTCCGTCTCCTTGGGTAAGGGTGCCCACTAAGGGCTTTTAAGGGCGGAGCTAATACTCTAAAAACCCTTAATAAAAAGGCCGTGCGTGACGGGCCTCAAGCAGTTGTCCCTTGGGCTCTGCATGCACGCACCCAGGTCTCCAAGACCAACACTAATCTACCTTCCTTTAGGTTCCTCAAGAAACACCCTTCTATGGTGTGGACAGCCGGGAAGTGACAACCGCCCTCATACCCGTAGCAGCACGAGAGACCAAATTGGTCAAAATCAAATCCTTCCTACACCTCCTAATACTTCTCTTATCTCCACGACTAACTCTTCTCACATTCCTATATCACACTGCACCGCTAATGCAAACGATGCGAGTTCACGAAAAGTTATTCCTGGTCTAGACTACATCTTAAGGCTCTTAATGTACGGAAATTGTGTCCAATAGGGCAACAGGCTTCCTTAGCTAGGACTTCAGAATCTCGCCCATGTAAGCGATTCCTATCCGGAAGCCGGTTGGAATGATATCAAGAAGGCTGTGGAAACAGCAGTGATATCTTCTAGTAAGGTAAACCGTATGGCCAGAATGAAGCCGTGGATCTCTGTAACATCTACCTAACGGATGGATGCTCGAAAACTCATCCCTCCTGGCTCTGAGTGCGATGAGGAGCGGAGTCAGCTTAGACGTAGGCTGATAAAAATCCTACTCAATGATCGAGAACAGTGGTGGGTAGAAAAAGCGGGAGAGATGGAAAAGGCAGCGGCGATAGGCAACAGTAGGCAACTATTTAGACTCATCATGGAAACTGGTTTTAGGAACCCAAATGTGAGTGAGACTATTTCGGAAAAGGATGGTCTTATTATCCATTCTCAATCCCGGAGACTGGATCGATGGGCAGGACACTTTAGGGATCAGTTCAACTGGCCTCGAGCAACTCTTCGGTTACCCACGACCTCCAGTCATCCTGAATGGCAAATCGACGTAAGTCCTTCTAGTCTTTACGAAGTTGAGAAAGCGTTCGGATATCTGAAGCGAGGGCGAGCTACGGGTCCTGATAGACAGACCCCTGAGGTATTGAAGAATGGTTGTCCAGTTTTAGCAGGTAGGTTGACTGAGATCTTAGGTAGAATCTGGGAACTGGACGTAATCACATCCGACTGGTCTCAATCACTGATTGTCCCAATCTATAAAAAAGGACAAAAGTCTTCTTGTGACAATCACAGGGGAATAAGTCTAACTAATATAGTATCTAAAATGTTGGTTTCAGTAATACTTCGACGCCTTACTAGTGCTCACGTAGAGCAGACTAAAGAAATCCAGTCTGGTTTTCGACCTGGACGTGGATGTATAGACCACATCTTCACACTAAGACAGGTCCTGGAACACAGACACACATTTAGGCATCCTACAATAGTTGTCTTCCTGCACCTTCAGGCGGCATTTCACTTTGTTGATGGTGAGGTTCTGTGGCAGTCTGTCATTGAAAGGTGAACCAAAGAAGTACATCAACCTTATACAAGCTCTCTACTCAAACACTATAGGTCGAGTTAGAGCTTACTTCAAGTGGTGTCCGTCAGGGCTGTCCACTGTCCTCATTCTTGTTCAGTCTTGTCATAGACATGCTCCTAGATATAACCTTATCCTTGTCTGAATTTCCAGGAGTAGACGTTTTACCAGGAGGCTCGCTTATTGACTTATAATATGCCGATGACATAGTTCTATTCGGTGAAGACGCTGACAAAATGCAGTCTTCTGACTACCCTAAGCAACAATGCGAGCATGTTCAGGATGCGGTTTTCCCGGTCGAAATGCAAAATGTTGCTTCAAGACTGGGTTGCATCGGCACCTGGACTAGTGATAGGGAGTGAAGTAGTCGAGCGTGTAGACCGCTTCACTTATCTTGGAAGTCTCATCAATGCTGATGGCCTGGTGACTGACGAAATCTCGGCCCCGATACAGAAGTCTCGATTGGCTCTTGCCAAGTTGCATCACCTATGACGTAGGGGAGTGTACTGTGCAGCAGTTCGCCCCATCCTACTATACGGATGCAAAAGATAGCTGTTAAGAGTAGAGGACATTCGTAAGTTGCTGGTTTTCGAGCACAGGTGTCCGAAGCATTGCTCGCTTATCCTGGGACCACTGGGTAACCAATGTTGTCGTTATTAAATGAGTACTAGATAGGGATGACAGATCAAATGATGAAGTATTGAAACTTCATCAGTTGAGGAGGTTTGAACATATGTTTCATATGCCTAACCACCGCCTGCTCTGTCGAGCTATGTTTTGTGGTGTAGGAGTAGGTTGGAAGAATGCTAGGGGCGACCAGACCAAAACATGGCACAAATCCATGAAGTCACTAACAAGTGGACTGAGTCATGTTGGTAGATGTAGGCCACTTGGTTGGGGTCCGCGAGACGATAATAATCGATAGTTAGAAACCCTGAATGACATGGCTCAAAACCGTTTGCAATGGCGCATGTACATCCAATCTTCGTGTTCTATGAAATTCTAACCTTCTGAATTAATCATCATCTCCATCTTTGTTTTTCTAAACCTATCTCACTGAATTATACTTCTTCAATAATATCTTGCAACCCTAATCTTCTCCTCTACCAGTAGTACTTCCACTACTCTACCACTATGGGACTTCAATTGACAATTACGTCTGTGCTAATATGGAATGGCAACATGAACTGATGTACTTACGTACGAAGTTCTACTTTGCAACTGACTGACCGATGCTGATGATGATGACACCCGCCCTCATACCCTTAACAGCACGCGAGACCGAATCGGTCACAAAAAAAATCCATTCTACACACCCAAACATCTCCACGACCAACTCTTCTCATATTCCTTGATCACTCTGTACCGCTAATGCAAACGATGAGATTTACGAAACGTTATTTCTGGTCTACTGAAATGTCCAGACATTGTGTCAAGTAGGAAAACAAGCTTCATTAGCTAGGACTTAAAAATATCCCACCACGTATGCTGCGTCTCCGGGACGAGAATATAAGATCATTAATTTGATTTTACCTTGTCGAAATAGCGAACCAACTCAATGTAGTCTTCGTGTATCTGGTTTCCTTGATGCTGCTTTGCGGGGTCTCACTGGTGTAGGTATAGTATTGAGTCGTAGGGCAGAACTAGCTCTCCCAGACTGGATCCCAGTAGATAGTCGCTTGTGTGCCGTCCGACTAAACGGGACAGTAAGGACTCGGAAAGATAGGGACACGCCGTCGCCTCTTCGTCTTATCTCCCTACGCTCCGATTGACTGCAGTTCAGACGAGGTGAAAGATGAGTTTTACAGAAAGCTTTCTAACGTTCGGCAAACGTTAAGGGCTCTGATGTAGTAATAATGGCTGGTGACTTTAATGCTCAAGTAGGTATACTAAGTGAAAATGAAAGACACCTGTTTGGGTCTTATGGTGTCGCGGCTGAAAGAACAGATAATGGAGACCGTCTGCTGCGGCTATGCTCAGATATGCGCCTATTCCTAGCAAACATTAACTTTAGGCATAAGGAAAAACATCTCACCTGGCGACACTCGTGATCTCAATGCTGGACCCAACCAGTCAGTCAGTCAGTTGCAACGTAGAACTTCGTACGTAAGTACATCAGTTCATGTCGCCATACCACATCAGCACAGAGATATAATTTTCAATTCAAATCCAATAGTAGAAGAGGTAGTAAAGGTATTAGAAGTAATTGGAGAGGTTAGAATTAGAAGATATTATTCACGAAGTATGATTCAATGAGATAAGTTTAGAAAGTAAAAACTTGAGGTGTTGAAGAATCCAGAAGATTAGGATTTGAGAGAACTTGAAGAATAAATGCACTGGCGCAATTGCGAACGATTTTGAGCCATGTCATTCAAGGTCTCTAGCCATCGATTATTATCATCTCGCTGACCCCAACCAGGTAGTCGACAATTACCGACATGGCTAAGTCCACTCGTCAATGACTTCATGGATTTGTGCCATGTTTTGGTCTGGTCGCCCCTAGCATTCTTCCAACCTATTCCTACACTACAAAACAAAGTTCGTCGAGGCAGTCGGTGGTTGGGCATACGCAACACGTGTCCCAACCACCTCAACTGATGAAGTTTCACCACTTCATCGATTGATCTGCCATTCTTACCGAGTACCCGTTTCCTTGGTGGACCCAACCAAAAAAAACACATCACATGCTCCACATCCCTCTACAGTAATCTTTACGACTTCTCCCTCAGACCTTGAGTAGCTGCTTTGAGTCTCATTGTTCTCCAATCGACCTGTCTGGCATGGTAGAACCTAAAGGAACATATGTTCCAGCCAATATAGCTCGGTTGGGTCATCACGATAGGCAAGCCCGACTACCACGTCAAGGTAGCAGCTGCGGTCGGGTAACCATTATAAGGCCAAGATTATATTTCAAGAGCAACTAGAAAACCAATTAAACAGCCCTGTAAGTGATTCGCACTCCGGAGCAACCTCAAATGATATCCAAAAATTATTCTGTGAGATAACTTTAGAAAGCAAAAGATAGAGATATTGAAGAACTCAGATGGTTAGAATTTGAAACACAAAGAGTGGATGCACCTGCGTCATTGCAAACGGTTTTGAGCCATGTCATTCAGGGTCTCTAACCATCGATTAATATCATCTTGCGGACCCCAGCCAAGTGGCCTACATCTACCAACATGACTCAGTCCACTTGTTAGTGACTTCATGGATTTGTGCCATGTTTTGGTCTGGTCGCCCCTAGCATTCTTCCAACCTACTCCTTCACCACCAAACATCGCTCGTCGAGGCTGTCAGTGGTTTGGCATACGAAACACATGTCCCAACCACCTCAACTTATGAAGTGTCATAGCTTCATCTAGGACCCGACGTATTGTGAATACTAGGTCTATACAGCCACGTGCCGGTCGAAAACCACCATGGTTTCCTCTAGTCTGCTATTCACGAGCTCCAGTTAGGCGCCTAATTATTATCGACGCTAACATTTAAGACACTATCTTAGTTAAACTGATTACTCTGTGATTGTCACAAGAAGACTTTTGTCCTTATGTGTAGATTGGGACAATTAGTGATTAAGACTAGTCAGAGGGGGTTACGTCCAGTTCGAGAATTCTAGCTAAGATCTCAGTCAATCTAACTGCTAAAACTGGACCATCATCCTTATTAATCTCAGGAGTCAATCTATCTGGTCCTGCTGCTGTCTGTCGCTTCAGATTTCCTATAGCCTTTTCAACTTCATAAAGATTCGGACGGCTTACGTCGACTTGCCATTCAGGATGACTGGAGATCGTGAGTAACCGAAGTGTTTCTGACGTCCACTTACAATCGAATTCCTAATATTGGTTCCTTGGTAAGTCGAATAAACTGACTGCTGTTGCCTGTCGCAGCTACCTTTTTCGTCGCTCTTGCTTTCGCTGCCCACCACTGTTCACGATCATTGCGTACTCTTTTTATCAGCATGCGCCTAAGCTGACTTGGCTCTTCATCATGTTCAGATTCAGGCGGAATGAGCTTTCAAACATCCATCAGTTCGTTATAAGCTCTAACTTGATCTGTAGTGTTCTGGGCGCTTGTCACTTCCCGACTGCCCACATCATAGAAGGGTGTTTCTTGAGGAACCTAAAGGAAGGTGGATTAGTGTTGGTCTTAGTAACCTGGGAGCTTGACTGCAGAGCACAAGGGACAACTGCTTGAGACCGTTCACGCACGTCCTTTTTATGAGAGGTTTTTAGGGTATTAACTCCGCTCATGTTTAAAAGCCCCTACTGCCGGAGACGAAAATCCGTGAGGTAAAGTTAGGTGTGCAGAACCCTGGGAAGTAGTCCAACTGGCCTTCAACCACACTTCAGTTACCCACGATCGTCAGTCAACCCGGAATGCGAGTCGATGTAAGTTCTTCATCCCTCAATGAGGTCGAATGGGCTGTAGTCAATCTAAGTGGAGAAAGAGCAGCAGGCCCTGATGGGTTAGCACTTCGGGTTTTTAATCATAGTGATCCAGTTTTAGCAGTTAGATTGACTGAGATCTTAGCTAGAATTCTCGAACTGGACGTAACCCCCTCTGACTGGTCTTAATCACTAATTGTCCCAATCTACACATAAGGACAAAAGTCTTCTTGTGACAATCACAGAGTAATCAGTTTAACTAAGATAGTGTCTTAAATGTTAGCGTCGATAATAATTAGGCGCCTAACTGGAGCTCGTGAATAGCAGACTAGAGGAAACCATGGTGGTTTCCGACCGGCACGTGGCTGTATAAACCAAATATTCACACTTCGACAGATCCTAGGGCACGGACACAGTTTCATACTCTCGACAGTAGTCGTAGTCTTCGACGTCAATGCGGCTTCTGACTCCGTCGACCGTGAGGTTGTGTGGTAGTGTCCGTTATTGAAAGGAGTACTAAAGAAGTACATTAACCTTATACAAGCTCTCCACTCGAACTCCTCTGATCTAGTCACAACTTATGGCGAACTGTCATCGGATCTGATCACTCCAAACGGTGCTCGTCAGAGTTGTCTACTTTCTGCATTCTTATTCAACTTTGTCATTTACCTCATTTTATAGGTCACAGTTTCATCATATGACATTTCAGAAGTCGACCTTCAGTCAGGAGATTTGCTTGTTGACTTAGAATATGCTGATGACATAGTTTCGCTTGATGAAGACGCTGACAAAATGCAGTCTCCAGTTTCAACCACCTTGAACAATAATACAAACATGTTCAGGATGTGATTCTCTCTTCCTCCAAATGTAAAATGTTGTTTCACGATTGGCTTGCATTGACACCTGCATGGCTACTAAGGGTAGAGGATGTTTTTGGGTTACTAGTATTCGATCATAGGTGTTTTTGCAGCGTTGCTGGTGTTAGGAAAAGGGTATTTGGTAAGGGTGGCAGATCAATAGATGAAGTATTGACTGTTCATCAGTTGAGGTGGTTAGGACGTGTGTTAAGAATGTCCAGCCAGCGACCGCCTCGACGTACGATGTCTGATATAAGTGTAGGCTGGGTGAAAGTTCTGGGTGGCCGAACCAAAACATGGCACAAATCAATGAAGTCAGTGCAAGCGGACAGAGCCATGTTAGTGGATGTCGACTACTTAGTCTGCGAGACAACAGTAACTGATTGTCATAGACTTTGAATGACATGGCTCAAAATCGTTTGCAATTGTGCAGGTGCGCCCGTTTTTTGTGTTCTCCCAAAATTCTAATCTTTTGAATTCCTCATGACCTTTCTTCTCTTGTTACGTTTGTTTCACAGGGATATACTTCTTGAGTAATATTGTTGAACCTAAATCTCTATTAATACTTATACTTGTACTACCGCTACTGCTCTGGTATTTGAATTGATAATTCCAACTCTGGGTTAATGTGGTATGGCAAATCGAACTGATGTACGTACGGACGAAGTTCTGTATTGTAACTGCCTGACTGATTTCTAATAAAACCACTACTTAAAACCCGTTGGACAAACATTCTAGTCGCGAAGTATTTGAGATCATCCGTTCATTGACTATCAACATTTTGATTCTGTGACTTTGTTCCCTATTTTACTTTTCAGCCATAACACCTCCCCTTTCTCAAATTCCTTTGCCACCACCTATGGCCTTGCCATCATTTACTGGCCTCATCCGTCCGGGATTTCCAGGAGCTCCGCAACCTACTCTAAGTCGTTTTACTTACCAACGTCGTAAGTCGTTTTGAAAACATTTCATTTCTTATATCCGATACTCCACTCGTTATCGTTCTATTCACTGATACCGATCATTGAGAATGCCATCAAAGTTGAATATCAGAGCGTACTGTTTTACACGCACATATGATTTGCTTTAATTTTTGTATCCTTAGTTTTAAATGTATTTATGGAGGACAGGAGTACAGATATTTTTACCGGCACTATGCATCTGGTTATAAACGTATGAAGACCAAGTCTTTTCCAATCACACCGGAAATCTGGGAGTTGTTAAAAGCTGTTTCCGGTGAATGTACTTTTGTACAGCACACCACTTCAGTGTCTTCATTCTTTACATTTACCCGGTTTATTAGATTAAGCAATTATACAAACTGTTTTTTAACGTAAAACTTCATTTCAATAAAAGGCATTTCTTTATTAATATCACAACCTAATTTCGACTCTGTTCTTATTCAGCTACCGGGGCCATATTATCTGCTCCACCTAGTTTGCACATTCGTGATCCACTTGATAATGCTGAACTTGTAAGTGGTCCAGCTGTAGCGAACATCCCAACAAATCAACCAAATCCAAGTGGAACGACCATTGAAGCAAAGCCCCAACTAAAAAATTTGATCGGTGATGCGACACGCTTTGTCCCTACTGCGTTGAAAGTGCGTAGGACTGTTCGTGATACTAGTGGCCGTCTAATCACTACTGGTGGAGGCACAGGTGCATATGGAACAGGAAGTGAGTCCACTCTGTAATAATTTGTAGTCATAAAAGGACCAGTTTATTTAGTAGTTTTGTACTTATGATACCTTTTTAAATGTTCTATTATTTGGCTTTACTTTACATGGATCCGATGGGTCGATATCAATTTGTTATTACCAATTACTGTGTCACTCAACTAGACATTTTGTAAATAATCCTCTGAAAATAAATTTAATATTCCTCTCTCACATCGTATAATGCTAATCTAGTAAGTATTTGTGAATGCAGTTCTACACACTACCAGCTCAGGATACTAAGCCGAAGATTGGGAGGAAAATGCAGGCGAAAGCATTTGTCTCACTAACTAATTTTGATGCGTGTTTCCTTACATCCGTAACCGTAAGTTACGATCCCACCAATCAAAACCAAAAAGTTACGTACTAAGTCAAATGAAAATGGTATTTGAATCCACAATCTATTTCTTAACCACAGTGGCATATCTTACAATAAAAGATGAAACTACTAATGACCTGTTGTTAAAAACAATGAAGGCCTAGGACCACTCAACTACTCTTATCAAATAAAAGCTTTAATTCAGTCTTAAATAACAAAGGTAGTAGATTGTTTGACCTGTGTTAACTTTTGCAGCTTGTTTTCCGGTAAAAATCTAGCTTTTCTGTGGAAGTTCTTGGATGGGACTGATGCTACATTCCGGTAGCTCATTCTAGTCATCAGCCACTTGATAAACAAAACGGAACTCTACCCTGGGCTTATGTGATCGTGGTTTTTGAACCTTACGTTGATCTCGGAGATGATAAGTTATAGAGGGGACGTAAAGATAAAGTATGGTAATACTGGAATTATTATTTAAGATAGATTTCCATTATAGCTTCACATCATGTTCTGCGATGAGGTACTCATCATAGGAGAGTTTGGAAAGACCTCTCTACAACTGAGAGAGAGGTATTCTTAGTAAAACATTAACTAGCTGCTTAGATGCCATACTCTAAGTGAGGCCTCATACAAGCGGTGTATGGGATCCTAAAGATCGTCAAAACATTACCCTATATTTCGCCCAAATAATCCAGTCATCCTGTTTTTTGTTTCGATTTCAGGACAATCAAATGCTGTTTATGATCGTGTTGCCAAATCAGATACAACAGGCATCATTTCTGGATCAGCTACTAGCAAAGATGACGCATATGAAGAGTTCATGCGTGAAATGGAAGGTCTTATATAGGAACAGTATTCGTACTCCATGTATAGTTTTGTCTTAGTCTAAAATTGTCTTTCGTATATTGTATATTTCAATGTGTCTCTCTTACTTTTGTATTTATGTGAAGGAAACATTTTGCGTTTAATTCACCTTAAATTAATTATTTAAATGCCTCAAATTATGAACATATATTCCCATCGAAAATTTTCAGTGGATACCACTTGTTAATGTCGACTCATCCTCTGCCCCATTAAGTTTTATCAAAACCACCATCTTAATTACATATGAGATTATTTCTGAAAATACAAACCACCACATCAAACCAGTTCAATATTAGTAGTACATTTAGTCCATCTTATATACAGACACACTACGCCGCTATAAGGTCATTCAATTATACTCCATGTAGACCCTGGCGTATATGTGTATCGGTTAAAATTTAGATCGCAAAATTAAAGTGTTAGGACAAACACAACGGTATAGAAGTAGTAACATTCTCAATCGTAGTAGGGAATCTGGCTCAACAAGGAATGAATTTGTAGGATGAAAAAACGTAGAATATGGTTTTAAAACCCAAGATCGAAGAGGAAACTGGATTTCTTTTCACCTCATTATGACTCATTCTAAGCCGCGTCACCCAACGTCGACCACTGGTCATAATAATCACGTGGGCCCCAACCAGGCAGTTTTCACCTACTGGCGCGATTTAGTTCAATCATCTGTGACTTTATGAACCAATGCCTTATTTCGGCCTCTACAATTCAATCTTACCATCGTAGGGATTAAATTACTGAGAGATTAACAGGTTATATTTATTCATTCAAGTTATACCTAGCTTACTAATCTCTGTCATAGGAAAAGTTTACAATCAATCCAATTTATCAATAGTGTATATAAGTACTTACATCAGGTAAAGTTAGAACTGTTATCACGTTGAAATTACGATGATTACTTAGTTACTTAGCTCTCCATACATTTCAAAATTTAAGTTGACGCTTTGTAACAATTGCTGTTCCATCAGACTAGTCAACTAGTAGGGGCAGTTATTTTAGTTATCTTACGTATTTGAAAGTCAGCCTTGTTTAAGGTTTCTGACCGTAGATGCTACCTTGACGTGATGGTCGGGCTTGCCTATCCAACCGAGCTATATTGGCTGGAACACATGCTCCTTTGGGTTCTATCATGCCAGGCAGGTCGATTGGAGAACGGTTAGATTAAAATCATCAGCATAAAGTTTGAGGACGAAGTCGTACTGCTTACTGCAGAGGGGCGTGACAGCTGTAAGGTTTTTCTCTGGGACAAGCAGCATCTGCGATGATGCTGCCTTTACACACGGAAGGTAGGGGTTAGAAAAGGTCGACCCTAAAAATGTCACAGCTCATCTTACCTCACTGATTTCCGTCTCCGGCGGTAAGGCCATTCGGAGCGTGGAGCTAACACTATGTAATCGTCCCACAGAAAGACTGTGCGTGAATGACCTCAGATAGTTGTCCCTTGGGCTCTGCGGTCACGCTTCCATGTCGGTCAGACGAACGCTAATCAGATTTCCTTTTCAGTTTCCTCAAGAAGTAGCCTTCCACGATGTAGGGAGCCAGGAAGTGACATCCACTTTCATATCTGTAAAAGCATTCGAGAGTATGTCGGTCACAATCAAGTTCTTCCTACACCTCTTAATAACTCTCTTATCTCCACGACCAACCCTTCTTTCATTCCTTTGTCACCTCGCGCCGCTGATGAAAATATTTTGACTTCACGAAGCGTTATTTCTGGTCTCTTGAAACCCCCACAGTAAACTGCATTTTGGAGTTTTTAATGTTCGAACCTTGTGTCAAATAAGGCAACAGGCTTCCTTAGCTAACACTCTAGAATCTCACGCCATCGATGTATGTTGCATCTCCAAAACGCGCATACAGGATCCTAGTAGAATCGCTAATTTTGTTTCGCCTTGTCGAGATAAAGGACCAACTCGGTTTACTCCTCGCGCATCTAGGAGTCGTCCTAGTGCTTCCCGTGGCCCCTCTGGCGTAGGTATAGTATTGAGTCCTAGGGCAGAACTAGCTCTCTAAGAGTGGATCCCATTAGGATAGTAAGTACTGGTATAGAGATAGGGACATTGTCTGTTCCCACTGATTGCAGCTGGGCTGAGGTAAATGACGAATTTTGCGAAAGCTTTCCAACCTTCTTGAAAGAGCTAAGCGCTCTGACTTAGTAATGGTGGCTCATAACTTCAATGCTGAAGTATATAGACTAATCGATACCTGGGTGGATCATATGGTGTCGTGGCTCAAAAATCACATTATGGCGGCCGCCCGCTGCAGCTATGCTCTGGTAACCTCCTATTCCTGGCAAACACTAACTTTAAGCATAAGGAAAAACATCTGTTGACATGGCAACCTCGAAGGCCGACCCAACTAAATCACATCGCTGTAAGCCATTGGTGGAGAGGTTCCATTGAAAACTGCCGCTCATCCTGGAGCACTTGTTTAGATTCAAATCATACTCTGGTACGAGCGCATGCTTGTTTGCGCCTTACTGTACGTAAATAAGACGCTGCCAGGAAACGTCTTAGGGCCCTACCTAACGATAATAAGTCAGTTACAACGTAGAACTTCGTACGTACGTACATCAGTTCAGGTTGCCTTACCGCATTGACACATAGACGCAACTGTCAGTTCAAATCCAATAGTGGTTGCCATAGTGGACGTATTAGCAGTAATGGAGAAGATTAGGGTTCGAAAATATGATTTGAGGAGTATAGTTCTATCAGATGAGCTGCATGAGTCAGGTCACGCACGGCCTATTTATGATAGGTTTTTAGGGTATTAGCTCCGCTCATGTTCAAAAGCATTTTTTTTCTTAGAACTTTTTATATCTCTTTTTGACGGCTTTCAACTGCTTTCGCCCGGCAGGCCTGACAACATGTTTTTGTGCTCACATGACATCCAGTTTTTGTTCAAACATCGATATAATAGTTCGGAAAAGGATGAGCATATTATTCACTCTCAATCCAGGAGAATGAATCGATGATCAGAATACTGGGAAGTGGTCCGACTGGCCTTCAGACACTTTTCGGTTACCCACCATCTCCAGTCATCATGAATGGCAAATCTATGTAGCTCCTCCAAATCTAATATACAAAAATAATTATTGGAATATACCAATCAGCCAGGATAGACTAGTCTCAAAAGTGGTAGAAGAAAGGAAATTTAAATTCAATTTTGAATGGATTAGATAAAAGAGAGAAAGTAAAATGTAGGATGAAATGAAATAATAATTCGAAAGAAAATGTTAACTGGATATAACAAATTTATAGTCTGCACTATGAAATAAAAATCGTAGAAACAATTCAAAATAGTGTGTTCATATTAAATTATGGAGCAAGTGCAAAGATTTAAAGAGAATAACTTCGATTAATTTTCACTACGCTACTTCTTGATCAGCCACCCACAACTAGCCTACAATATAAAGAGATTGGTGAGATTTGAATGCTAAACATCATGAAGGGTATTCCGACGTTTTAAAAATCGAAGTGTTGCAAATAAATACAATATACAAGCGATCCTGGAACATCGAAATAACAATTAAAGGTTACGAAATTAAACAATTAACCGGCTACATAATAAATTCGCGTGACAGGAATTATTAGGAATAACAAAAGTTAAAAGTAGTCAAGTTAAATCACTGACCACTTTGTTAACAGTGTTGATGTCTGTTCTTAAATATTTAGTAATGAGTAACGTTTCGGAAACCGCTCGGGGCCCCTCTGCGACTACTGACTGTCCAAAGGCTGTATAAAGGTGGAGGTTTAGGCACGGGGTTGGCGACCTCATCCCACAAAATAACTGACTGGCTAAAAAACGCTAACCAGAAAACATAATTCAAACCACTTTTACTATGCTCTACGAGTTAGAAGGTTTTCATTCAGAAGAGTAATGCCATCTCATGATGAAAGCCGAGTTCCCTTGGACGTCATGAGGCCGATACCCTCTCCGACAGCCAGAGCAACCATTGTTTTAGGTACATGGTATGTATGAATATTTTTGGAGGCCAGAAGACTATTCCACCAACTTACTGCAGAGGTGAAAAGATACAACTTGGAGGTGCTTGGAATCAGTGAAACGCATTGGACACAGGTAGGAAAACTCAGACTAACTTCAGAGGAACTGCTGTTTTAATCTGGCTATGGAAAGGAAAATGCTTCACATAAACAAGGAGTTGCACTGATGCTATCCAAACAAGCACAAAATTCTCTTATAGGATGGGAAACTCACGGACCAAGGATCATTAAAGCATCCTTCAAAACACAGAGAGAGGGCATTACAATGAACGTCATCCAATGCTACGCACCCATCAACGACTAAAATGACGATGCTAAAGAACGATTCTACGAAAGGCTACAGTGAATTATCGACAGATACTCATCAAAGGATTTGACCATTCTGATTGGAGACCTAAATGTCGAGGTTGGAATGGACAACACTGGATATGAAGTTATCAATGGGTTCATGGTCTCTGAGAAAAGGAACGCACATGGTGAGAGATTCGCAAATCTATGTGCCTGCAACAAACTGGTCATCGGTGGCACATTATTCCCACACAAACGCGTGCACAAAGCTACATGGATTTAAGCGGATCACACTACTCAGAACCAAATCAACCATATCTGTATCAGTTCAGCAGGGCGTTGGAGGACGTGAGAAACAACAGAGAAGCTAATATAGCCTCAGATCGCCACTTGCTATTTACCAAAATGAAAATGAGACTCAGGAACCACTGGATACCGGGGTTGACAACATCAAAAATGTTTAATGCAGCCTTTCTTCAGGATACTGGAGAGCTCATCGAATTCAAGATAGTCCTCAGCAATGGCTTCCACTCTTTGCACGATCTACTCAGTGGACAGGAAACAACCATTGAGAACAATTGGAAACGGACCAAAACGGCCATCACCTCAACATGTCAGGAGGTTCTAGGCCACAGGAAGTAGCACGATATGTAATGGATCTCTGTTGGAACTCTTGAAA